TCACACTCACAAACTGTGACCCCTTTAAAGCCCACTGTGTCCCCCTGAGCTCCCTACACCCCTGTAACCCTACTGTAACCCTCCATCAGTCCATTGGTACTTCCATATAATAATCAAAACATGATTCGAGGCCGATCATTTGCTCAAATGTCTTCTCTTACCACCACTACGCAGACGATACACAACTCTACCTGTCCTTTCCGCCAGAAAGATCGGTAGAGTTCCACCGTCTCGGCGGGGATGTCTCGGACATATCTGCATGGATGAAGGCTTACCACCTAAAACTAAACCCAAGACTGAACTCGAGCATCTTCCAGGATGACGATGTCACAAATTTGGCTGTTTTTTTTTCCACAAACGCCGTATTGTGAAATCCAACCGGCCCATCGTGGTGAACTTGAAGTGACGTTACAGGTGATCTTTACCAACAGGTTAATCATTAAGAAGAAAAGAGCTTCTGTGTTTCCCCATCAGTCTGACTCACTGGATGCATCCTAATCTCAGCTAATCCCCCCCCCTCCCCCAACAAACGCCATCAGTCTGTTCTGCAGTTGGACATTTTATTAATTTATTAGAGTCTACTATTCATCATCATCATCATCATCTTCATCATCACTCACAACAGATATAAACAGTCCTGTTGTCATGGTTACCAGGGTCCTCGTTAGTGTGATTATCAGCCCGTTAAGGTTGTCACCATGACGACGCTCTCGGTGGAGGAGTGTTTGTGTGTATATCCTGTAAGTGTGTGTTGTGTCAACACATTCTCTCTCCAGCACATCACATGACCCCTTGGCGTCGCTGTTTTTCAACATGTAGGGCTCCGTGGTCCAATTAGCAACAATGCAACGTCCGGTTAGACTTTCAAAATAAAAGTGCTTCTTAATGTTGCAATTTTGAAATGGCAGGTTGTTAACGTTGTGAAACGTCTCAGTTTGGTTAGGTTCAGGACAAGATCGGGCTTTTGCTTAAAATAACTACGTTACGTACGTCAGTTAACTTACTTATGTTCAGCAACGCCACTTGTGTAACTTATGTAACTTACATAAAAATATTTAATTCTGTCTTTTTATTTAGAAAGTTCAGAAACCGGATCCACCCGGGATCCAGATGTTTGTCTCCTTGGTGAAAGTCTGGTTTCTGACCAAACTGTCCACCCTGACTACCTCCTTAAGATGTGTTTCATGTGGCTTGATTACAAAGTCAATGCAAAGAGGAAGTATTCCTGCGAATTTGCTCCTTTCTCGAGTTCAAATTTTTCTACTTGGGCGAGAAATTTGCTTGATGCAATGTTGCAAAAGCCTATCAGCGGTGAGATCGTCCAAACGTCGGAGCGTTGTTATAAATGAACCCCCGTATTCGGTGTGGAGTCTGCTCTGATAACTACGCCGTTTACTCACAGGAGGAGCTCAGAGTTAACTGTTTTTATTAAATGAGCTTTTTACTTTAGTTTTTGGGATTACAACTTGATTTATCTTCACTGGAGCTTCTCAGCAGCTTCCGTGCACATCCGGTTCCACTGTTGTTGTTAGCGTTGGTCGGCACCCAGGGTTCTGCTGGACTACGACTTCATATTTATATAAAAACTGGACATTACTTGGAGAAAAGAAAGCGAGGAGGTTGAACTACCTGGTGAGTTCAGAGAACATGTGTCTGTAACTTTATTCCAGCTGTCGTTGTACTTTACTGTGAACAGGTTAGCGTAGCGTAGCCCTGATCGATCCCAACTCCAGAGAAGTTGTCTTCCTGCTGACAGACCTGACAAAGCATGAATTCATATGTTTAACAAAACTGCATCATATTTTAGTTATTTTGGCATCAGTTTGATCCGTTTACTGCTATTAAATCACAGCCAAGAGTTTGGGTTCATATAGCTGTAATATCCGCAGCCGTCAAACTTGTGCGAGTAAAGCGAGAAGAATATTAACTTTGTGTGAACACAGCTCTGAGTTTACTGTGACACATTACACAGCTACATTTAGTGTTCAACAACAACCGCGCTGGAATCCACAGAGCGCTCCAAGCTGACGCCCATATGTGATGTGATGTGCAGAGTGTGTGTTGTGCCACCACTACGCAGACGATACACAACTCTACCTGTCCTTTCCGCCAGAAAGATCGGTAGAGTTCCACCGTCTCGGCGGGGATGTCTCGGACATATCTGCATGGATGAAGGCTTACCACCTAAAACTAAACCCAAGACTGAACTCGAGCATCTTCCAGGATGACGATGTCACAAATTTGGCTGTTTTTTTTTCCACAAACGCCGTATTGTGAAATCCAACCGGCCCATCGTGGTGAACTTGAAGTGACGTTACAGGTGATCTTTACCAACAGGTTAATCATTAAGAAGAAAAGAGCTTCTGTGTTTCCCCATCAGTCTGACTCACTGGATGCATCCTAATCTCAGCTAATCCCCCCCCCTCCCCCCAACAAACGCCATCAGTCTGTTCTGCAGTTGGACATTTTATTAATTTATTAGAGTCTACTATTCATCATCATCATCATCATCTTCATCATCACTCACAACAGATATAAACAGTCCTGTTGTCATGGTTACCAGGGTCCTCGTTAGTGTGATTATCAGCCCATTAAGGTTGTCACCATGACGACGCTCTCGGTGGAGGAGTGTTTGTGTGTATATCCTGTAAGTGTGTGTTGTGTCAACACATTCTCTCTCCAGCACATCACATGACCCCTTGGCGTCGCTGTTTTTCAACATGTAGGGCTCCGTGGTCCAATTAGCAACAATGCAACGTCCGGTTAGACTTTCAAAATAAAAGTGCTTCTTAATGTTGCAATTTTGAAATGGCAGGTTGTTAACGTTGTGAAACGTCTCAGTTTGGTTAGGTTCAGGACAAGATCAGGCTTTTGCTTAAAATAACTACGTTACGTACGTCAGTTAACTTACTTATGTTCAGCAACGCCACTTGTGTAACTTATGTAACTTACATAAAAATATTTAATTCTGTCTTTTTATTTAGAAAGTTCAGAAACCGGATCCACCCGGGATCCAGATGTTTGTCTCCTTGGTGAAAGTCTGGTTTCTGACCAAACTGTCCACCCTGACTACCTCCTTAAGCTGTGTTTCATGTGGCTTGATTACAAAGTCAATGCAAAGAGGAAGTATTCCTGCGAATTTGCTCCTTTCTCGAGTTCAAATTTTTCTACTTGGGCGAGAAATTTGCTTGATGCAATGTTGCAAAAGCCTATCAGCGGTGAGATCGTCCAAACGTCGGAGCGTTGTTATTAATGAACCCCCGTATTCGGTGTGGAGTCTGCTCTGATAACTACGCCGTTTACTCACAGGAGGAGCTCAGAGTTAACTGTTTTTATTAAATGAGCTTTTTACTTAGGTTTTGGGATTACAACTTGATTTATCTTCACTGGAGCTTCTCAGCAGCTTCCGTGCACATCCGGTTCCACTGTTGTTGTTAGCGTTGGTCGGCACCCAGGGTTCTGCTGGACTACGACTTCATATTTATATAAAAACTGGACATTACTTGGAGAAAAGAAAGCGAGGAGGTTGAACTACCTGGTGAGTTCAGAGAACATGTGTCTGTAACTTTATTCCAGCTGTCGTTGTACTTTACTGTGAACAGGTTAGCGTAGCGTAGCCCTGATCGATCCCAACTCCAGAGAAGTTGTCTTCCTGCTGACAGACCTGACAAAGCATGAATTCATATGTTTAACAAAACTGCATCATATTTTAGTTATTTTGGCATCAGTTTGATCCGTTTACTGCTATTAAATCACAGCCAAGAGTTTGGGTTCATATAGCTGTAATATCCGCAGCCGTCAAACTTGTGCGAGTAAAGCGAGAAGAATATTAACGTTGTGTGAACACAGCTCTGAGTTTACTGTGACACATTACACAGCTACATTTAGTGTTCAACAACAACCGCGCTGGAATCCACAGAGCGCTCCAAGCTGACGCCCATATGTGATGTGATGTGCAGAGTGTGTGTTATGTGTTGTGTAGAGTGTGTGTTGTGTAGAGTGTGTGTTGTGCAGAGTGTGTGTTGTGCAGAGTGTGTGTTATGTGTTGTGTAGAGTGTGTGTTGTGTAGAGTGTGTGTTGTGTAGAGTGTGTGTTGTGTAGAGTGTGTGTTATGTGTTGTGCAGAGTGTGTGTTGTGTAGAGTGTGTGTTGTGTAGAGTGTGTGTTATGTGTTTTGTGTTATGTTTTGTGTAGAGTGTGTGTTATGTGTTTTGTGTTATGTGTTGTGCAGAGTGTGTGTTGTGTAGAGTGTGTGTTATGTGTTTTGTGTTATGTGTTGTGCAGAGTGTGTGTTGTGTAGATTGTGTGTTATGTGTTTTGTGTTATGTGTTGTGCAGAGTGTGTGTTGTGTAGATTGTGTGTTATGTGTTTTGTGTTATGTGTTATGCAGAGTGTGTGTTGTGTAGATTGTGTGTTATGTGTTTTGTGTTATGTGTTGTGTAGAGTGTGTGTTATGTGTTTTGTGTTATGTGTTGTGTAGAGTGTGTGTTATGTGTTTTGTGTTATGTGTTGTGTAGAGTGTGTGTTATGTGTTTTGTGTTATGTGTTGTGTAGATTGTGTGTTATGTGTTTTGTGTTATGTGTTGTGTAGAGTGTGTGTTATGTGTTTTGTGTTATGTGTTGTGTAGAGTGTGTGTTATGTGTTTTGTGTTATGTGTTGTGCAGATTGTGTGTTATGTGTTTTGTGTTATGTGTTGTGTAGAGTGTGTGTTATGTGTTTTGTGTTATGTGTTGTGTAGAGTGTGTGTTACGTGTGTGTTATGTGTTTTGTGTTATGTGTTGTGTAGAGTGTGTGTTATGTGTTTTGTGTTATGTGTTGTGTAGAGTGTGTGTTATGTGTTTTGTGTTATGTGTTGTGTAGAGTGTGTGTTATGTGTTTTGTGTTATGTGTTGTGCAGATTGTGTGTTATGTGTTTTGTGTTATGTGTTGTGCAGATTGTGTGTTATGTGTTTTGTGTTATGTGTTGTGTAGAGTGTGTGTTATGTGTTTTGTGTTATGTG